CACCACTGTCCCATCAGGGAGCCGGCATCCCTTCTCTCTCAGTTTTTCAAAGATGTTACGAGGTAAGCCTACAGCATCTCACAAGTGCTTTTCTTTTTTTTTTTTTTATTCAGAAAAAAAACCCCAAACAGTAATTCTGCCTCTTCATATATATTTTTACTGAAAAATAGACTCCAAGATTTGTAGCTTGTGAATCAACTAATGGCACAGCCTGCAGTCCTGATGACTGTTTGTTCATGAGCTGTTTTATCTCCAGGTATCCTCCGTGCGGTAAAAGGATTTATTGTTTCAGTAAATTGATTTTAGTGGAGCACAGTTTAGTCAGAAATTGGTCTCCGTTTTGTGAAAGGTGGCTCTCCACCTATTTGAAGCGGGCGGGTTTGAAGGGGTTCCCCCCAGGGCGAACTGGAGGGACGGTGGGCTGGAAGGAGATCTCAGGAGCCCATGGTCCCCATGCCATGTGTGAACACCACTGTCCCATCAGGGAGCCGGCATCCCTTCTCTCTCAGTTTTTCAAAGATGTTACGAGGTAAGCCTACAGCATCTCACAAGTGCTTTTCTTTTTTTTTTTTTTTTATTCAGAAAAAAAAACCCAAACAGTAATTCTGCCTCTTCATATATATTTTTACTGAAAAATAGACTCCAAGATTTGTAGCTTGTGAATCAACTAATGGCACAGCCTGCAGTCCTGATGACTGTTTGTTCATGAGCTGTTTTATCTCCAGGTATCCTCCGTGCGGTAAAAGGATTTATTGTTTCAGTAAATTGATTTTAGTGGAGCACAGTTTAGTCAGAAATTGGTCTCCGTTTTGTGAAAGGTGGCTCTCCACCTATTTTTTTTTCCTTCACCACGCAGTGAGTCGGCTCACACCATGACAAGGAGTCGCTGAGAATTCATTTAGCAGAAGAATATTGCTCCTTCATGCCACATAAATTGCGATATTACAGAAACAATTATAGCGGAGAGCGGCTTTGTGTAAAGGAATGTGCCTGGTGGTTCTCCCAGACCCGGTGCTGTGACTTCGGTGCTTTGGGTTAAAATATTTAAATTCTGTGTTTCAGCTGCGGTATGGGCAATTGCTCCGAAGTCTGGGGGAGCTGAGGTGTGTGGGGTTGGGGCAGGCGCCTCGGGGACCCCCTGGGGACAACAGGGATGCTGGGCGGCTGCGGATCCGCAGGGATCGTGGCAGACCCTGATGGCAGAGGCACAGGGAAGGGTTTTCTGCTGGGAGCAAAGTTCAAAAAGAAAGGCCAGGTTCCTCCACGTTGTACCTTCCTGAATCAGATCTGGAGACCTCCTGTAGTGCATCATCATCTGATCCCAAGCACTACTACATGCTCAGCAGGGAATGGCTGGAGAGCAGCCCTGAGGAGAAGGACCTGGGGGTGCTGATTGAGGAGAAGCTCATCATGAGCCGGCAATGTGCGATCGCAGCCCAGAAGGCCAACCGGATCCTGGGCTGCATCAAAAGAAGTGTGGCCAGCAGGGCGAGGGAGGGGATTCTGCCCCTCTACTCCACTCTGGTGAGACCCCACCTGGAGTGCTGCGTCCAGCTCTGGAGTCCTCAACGTAAGAAGGACCCAGACCTGTTGGAGCAGGGCCAGAGGAGGCCACAAAGATGACATTCCACAGGGGTGGTCCATAGACTAAGGGAACGATAGATATCTGTGTGTTATATCAAAGGATGGGAAGCGGGGTGGTGGTTGATAAGGATGTATTGGATAGTGTGGGACCTGAGCATGCCGTAAACGGTAGGGAATAAGGCATGGAGAATGTCACGGTTTCAGCTGAGATAGAGTTGACTTTCTTACTAGCAGCTGGTACAGTGCTGTGTTTTGGGTTTGGGATGAGAACGGTGTTGATGGCACACTGGTGTTTTCGGTTGTTGCTCATCGGTCAAGCCTTTTCTGCTCCTCACACCATCCCACCAGTGAGTAGGTTCGGGGCGGGGGGAGCACAAGAAGTTGGGAGGGGACACAGCCGGGAGAGCTGACCCCAAGTGACCAAGGGGATGGATAGAGTCCACAGTCCTGGTGATGGTCTCAAGCGTGACTTACTCTCTGGGTGTCGCTGGATTTCTTCATTGTAGCCAAGATCAGTATCTGGGTCTTTGCTCTTCCTTCCCTGGGGACAATAACAGTGTCACTTGTGCATGTACACAGGGAGTGTTTTGGTGGAGTATTTTTGGTTTTGCTATTTAGCTGGCCACGATCAATACAGATAGCTTTTTCGCAGCCAAAAAGATGACAATTTTATGAATGGAGTTTAATAGCACAAACTTCATATGATGCAGAAGGAGATAAATGGAGCACAAATGGAAAAAGCACTTCACCCCCAGGCCCCATTGTTTAGTGTTTCATAAGCGATTAATCGCTTCATCCCCATCAAGTGCAATTGTCAATTCAATAAGCTCCGAGGTATTCTGAATGGCGCTTGGCAAACAAATTCCTAATGTAATTACATCTAAATGGAGTGTGAGAGCGTGCGCGCGTGTGTGCGGGAAGGAGGGAGAGATCTATATTTTTCGATGTAGCGGTATAACGACTCCATTGCACGTGGGCTGATACGGAAACCCCGGCGGAGGGGGGAAGGGCTGGTCTTGCTCCGGTGCGAGAGTTTTGGGATCAGCGGGGACTTTCTCCCCGGGGTTAAGCTGGTGATGCCGGAGCATCGCTGCAGATGGGAAGTGCAGGAGGTGGGATGGGAACCGGCTCTTTCCACTCGAGGTGAAACGGTAACGGTGGCGAAGCCAGCGTGATCCCGACCCCGCGGGCAGGTCGGGGTCGTGATTCCTGTGGAAACCCCCCTCCCTTTCCTTCCTGGCGCTGCCTGCAGCTGCCGGCTCTCTGCCTGCCCTCTGCCCTCAGCACGGGGCGGCTCTGGAAAGTGCGTGGGGAAAAGTACCAAAAGTACCAGGAACGCTTCAATGATCATTTTGCTTTTCAGGAGAGCAGAGCCTGAAATGTTGGGAGAAAGGGAGTAACTCCAGGCTGGCGCTCCGGTGCCCCGGATCATGGTCATGGATGCGGACTTGAAACACTGACCGAGAGCAGTATATTCTTGCTGGGCTTGTTTAACACTGGCGTGAAGTCATGGCTTGTGGCTCTCTTAAGTGCAACTCAGGTGGTGTGTTTATAAAGAGACACCATTAAGGCAAAAATAATGCTCTGGCTTTGCCTGTAACCCGCTCCCCTGCCCTCTTGCATCCGACCGGCGTGATGCCGAGAGCAAACCGGTGGCTCCGTCCCAGCTCCGGCGCGCGGGGCTGGCTGTGCCAGAGCGGGATGCTTCCCATCGCTGAGCCCCGGGGCGGGCAGCCTGGGCCAGCCCTGGGCTCCGCCGAGATCCAGTGCCGAGGCTGCTCCGTAATAAAACAGGTATCGTCAGGTTCCTCGGCGTGTTGCGACGCGGCAGCCCGAGCCCTTGAAAGGGCTGCGATAGGGAACAGTGTTGTCTGTCTTAGATGGTATCTCAGACTCGACACAGACGAGTAAAATGCCAGGCTGGATGTTTGCAGAGACTTGTCAAGCCGAGGGAAACTGTGCCAATGCGAAACATTGGGGAAGAGCTTAAAAAGGCAGACAATGGTATGTTCGCTTGCTGAGCTCGCCTACGGGTTGCTTTCCCCCTTGACAGAGTTTTTCAGCCGGTCCGTGGCTGTCAGGGGAAGGTGCATCCTCCACTGGCATCATCCAGCTGGAGAGACCCCATGTCCCCTCCGTCCCCATCCCTGGGGGCCTCTCGGTGACACCCAGAGCTCAACCCGGGCCAGGGATGTCACACTGTGGCGCTAGACATGCCCAGGATGGCAAATTTCTCACTGGACATTTAAAGAATAACTGCTTCATGTTAGTACTTCCTCAAGCCCTTTTTTGTCCCTTTCTCTGCTCATAAATGAGATTTTTTTTCTCCCGTTGCCTTGCAACAGGGAAGGTGGACAGCAGCGCGGGTCGGGCTTCTCCACTCTCTGGTGCTTTCTGGAGCATCCTGGCCAACATCAGGGATAATATACACAAATGAAATGAAAAAATTAAATGCTTTGTGTCGCATCCTGCTGGTATCTCCGTCCGCACCTCTGTACTGAAATAGCACTCACGGGGAGACGGGGTGCAGTGGGGGCTTAACTCTGCCTTTTACCCCTCACGGAGAACCTCACTCTTGCTGCTGAGGGATTTTTTTTCCGTCTTTTTTCCACCTTACCTGGAGTGACCTCGCGTTGCGTTTGTGGCACGGGGATCTTTGCGTGCGGGCGAGCGGCGGTGCCTTTGGCAGCAGCGTTCAATGTGGCACCGTTTCGGTGCTGCCGAGCTCCTGGCCGGCAGCATTTCCCCTGCCAGGGCGGCCGCGCATCCCGCTGCTGGAGGTTGCTGCTCTGAAAAAGCCTCTCCTGGTTATTGGACTCGTATTCCCGGTTGGCGCTCTGGAGGAGCCTCTGGTAAAGCACCTCTGCCACTTCTTTCCGCTAAGACTCCTGGTAGAGGGGGAACAAAACACAACACGGCAGTGTCTGACCTTCTGATTCCACTTAACCCAACTGGGAAAAAAAAACACCCTTATTTGTCCTCAATTTCAGCATTTGGCTTCACTTTTACAGTTCCATTTAATTAGCTTTAAAAGGGTCAATTTTCAGTCTTAACAATTAAAGCATTGACTTCGTGTTGCCAGAGCTTGTCTGAGCCCTCGCTGCAGAAAGCATCTTTGCAAAACTTGTCTCCTTGAACATTTAAACTGTCAGACCTAATTATCCGCATTGCTTCAGCTGAATGGGTTTCTTCCCTCTCAGCCAGCAGCAATATTTTGTTACTGTCTATGAAACATAAACTGCATCCCGAGTTAGGAGCAGCCGTTTTCCGAATCGCTGCTCGTACCGTTGCCGTGGATTTTTTGCCTCTCGAGTTGCAATCTAAAACGCTCAGCCCTTTGCAAAACGTTCCCCGAAGGTGGATGGGCTCCCGCGCCGGAGCCGCATCAGTGTCCTCCTCTGCCTTCTGCCTTGCAGAAAAGCCCGAGCTGGATGAGATCACCCTGGAGCGAGTGCTGGAGGAGCTGGAGACCATGTGCTACGAGAACATGAACATCGCCATCGAAACGGAGGAGGGCTTGGGCATCGAGTACGACGAGGACGTGGTGTGCGACGTCTGCCGCTCGCCGGAGGGGGAGGACGGCAACGAGATGGTCTTCTGCGACAAGTGCAACGTCTGCGTGCACCAGGTGAGCCCCCGCGGCCGGGGAGGGCGGCCGCACATCACGCTGCGATACCTTCCTCTGGGTTCCTGCCATCCCTGCCGCCCCCCTTCCCCTCAGCTGCTGTAGAGCCCCGTTAAGCTTTTCTGATGGATTCCCAGCATGGCTCCAGCGGAGTGAGCGTAGCAAGTGGGGTCTCGGGCAGCTGGCAGCCAGCAAAGTTCCTTTTCTTACTTTCTTAGTAAGAAACTCTTCGTAAGTGCCCAGAGAAATGCACAACCAGAGGTTGAAAACCACTTCTTGCGAGCTTGCTTTGCCCCCTCCTCCTCATCCTCTGGTCTCTGTGATATTTTAGTTTATGCCTCCTCTTCCATTAATGTGCTCATTCTTCTTTTTTTTTACCCCATTTTTCTTTATTAAGCTGCAGCCGTGGGACCTTTAACACCCAGGGGTGACCAGCACCGTGTGCGGGACTGGCTGGTGGGCTGGGATGGATGCAGGGCTGCAGCCCTGCACTCGCCGGAGGGGTGGGCTTGCCCGGACCTCCAGTGTCCTCCACAGCGTTATACTGGGGTTGGCAGGACCTCCCAGTTCCACGAGCGCCGTCTCACACCGCAGGGTGCCCCTGTCCCAGGTTCCCTGCTGTACGACTGTAGGAGTTCATTTTTATTTTGCTGCCTGGAGGAAAATAATTTTATTTTTAGAATCGAATGCAAATGCTTCAAGCCCTTGCTGGGGGTGGGGGGAAAACCTTGACGAGGAGAAGGCAGCCGTGCGATGGTCACCCCACGTCCCACCTGGGCCTGGGGAGGTTTTGCTGGTCGTGCTTCGAGGGGGAGCGCCGTGCGGTGCCGGGCTGGTGGTGGCAGCTCCTGGGCTTCACCCTCTCTGTGGGCTTTTTGGTGGTTTTTTTTTTTTTCCCCCTCTGAAGAGAGCCATTTGCTCATCTTTTGGGCAGCTTTTCCATCAACGCTTCCTGGAGGTGGGAGAGCGTTGGAGATATCTATAGTTGCGGGAGGTGGGTGTTTTGAATGGTTTCCATCAGTGAATCAGATTCCATGAAATACCGGGACGATTCAGGGTTGGAGTTTGGGTTTGGTGGTTTTTTTTTTCGTGTGTTGGGGTTTTTTTAACAAGCCCAAGTGGCAATGTCAGGCCGTGAGCTGACCCGTGCTGGCAGGCAGGGGCTCAGGGGGAGGGAGGTCAGCGTGCGTGGGGCTGCCGTGGGGATGGACGGACCCCGGCTGTGCCCCCCATGGGCCGTGGCACCCCACGGCCTCCGCTTTCAGCAGCGACCCCGGTGCTGGGAGCAGAGCAGTGCTGCAGAAGGGGATGCGGTGGGCTGGATTTCAAGGCTGTTGAAGGAAAAGGGGAGATTTTCCATTGTTTTCAGGGAGCAGAGTCCAGCCCTAAGCCCGATGCCAGCCCATAAGATGCCTGTGATTTAATCTCTGCTCTGGTTTATGCCCTAAGACAGAAAGTCCAGAGCCAGAGCGCGGGGTGTTGCACGGCATGGTGTAACCCCGTGCCTTTGCCAGCCCCACATCTGAAATTTATTGGGGACGGTGCTTTCCTGAGCGTATCTGGGTGCCGATGCCACGGGGTTTGTGTATTCGGGCAGTGGCGGGGAGGAGCTGGGGTACCGCGGGACACGGCCGGAGAGATGCCTCATCCTCCTGCATCCCAGCGGGACGGGCAGAGGCAGGGTTGTGCACAGACACACGTTGGTGGGTTATGGTGCCGGAAGGTTATTGTTGTAATCATCTCATCTGCATAACATGAACCACGAGGCTTGCTGTTAATTAATTCCTATGAAGCGTAGCTTTTGGAAAACACATGCAATCTTCATTTTGAAATTCTCAGCAAGGAGGAAGAATCTTCCCCCCACTCCCCGCTGCTAAATCGTTGTGGTTCATCGCTCTCGCGGTGGCAACATCGCGCTCCTCTTTAGCAGGGGAATGATCCGTCTCCAGCTTCCAACCACCACCCCGTGCTCCTGTCATTACCGAGTCCCCATGCCCGGGCGTGGGGACACAGCCGAGCCCTCCCTCTGTTGCATGGACCACACCAAGCTTTGCTGTGGCTCAGCATCCTCCTCGGGGTTTTTTTTTGGCATCATCTTTTGGGTGACGTTGCACCCGTGACAGGCGCAGCAATAAAAATAGCTGCTCCGCTCCTACTCAGCATTGCTCTGGCTCCATGTTCCCGGAGCACCTTCTGGCTGGTGCTGGAGTGGGAGAGCGTTTAGCTGATAAACCACTTCATTTCCAGAGCTGCTCCTTGTCTGGGACAGAAACCCTGTAGTATTTTCTCCTTGGAGCAGAACTGCACCTTTAGCTGCTCTAAAACCGCTAGGAATAAATAACTGAGAGCCAAGACTCTGCTAGAGATGCACACCTGGTCATAATTCCTGTTTTCCCCTGGATTTTGAGACCAGTCTGCCAGTTTATTCTCCTGGTAGTACATAACAGGCTGATTTTTGTCTGGTACTAAATCAGATGTTTTATAAAACTGTTACGGGAATGATTTATCTGTCGGATTTGGAGGTGCTGTGAAACACACAGTTAAAGTCTCTCTGAACTGTGTAGACTTCACGACAATGATATTACCTCCCTTAATTCCTTATTATCCCAATAATCTGTTCATGAAGTGGCTTTTTCCCCTTGGAAATCACTTTCGGAGTCGATTTGTGCTCGGGGGCAACCTCAAGCCGTGTTATAAAGTCGGTTCTGGGCCAGGAAAGACTGAGGATACGCTTTTCCCACGCTCACGCGGCTCCGCGCGCCCCCTCTGCCCCCGTCCCCACCTGCAGCACTGTCATTCGCGGTGATGGTGACCTGTGTCGGCAGGGTGAAAAGCTGTGGTTTTTTGGGGGTAAACTTCTAGAAGTGAAGTAGATAAATGCCTGGGCTCAGTTTGCAGCCGACAGCGCTGGGGATCCGTATCGGCACTGCCCGCCTGCTTCCGGAGGGACGTCGGGGCAGCCAGATCTAGAGTTAATTCCATCGCCTGGCTTAAAATAGTGACGCAGCCCCACGTCAGCGCCTAAGGCAGTTGTCTGCCACTCTCCGAAAACCCTTTAAGTGTGAGTTATCGGGACCTGATGGTTAAAAACTGTCTAGTTTTAGTAGTAGTTGTTTAATACACTCATGAGTTATGGCCGAAGTGGAAAGTTATTTTATCATCATCATTATGTGGTAGGCTTATCATTTGGCTCTTCCCCAAGTATGGAAGAGCAATATTTATGAAACACTTTGGCTTCTCTGCCTCCTGCGCAATGGCAGCAGGCCGGGGAGCTCTGTGGGCGACCGGAGTCCTTTAATTCTCACTCTCTTGGCCGTAGACTTGTCCTTAGAATGATAGAATGGTTTGGATTGGAAGGGACCTTTAAAGGTTCATCTAGTCCAACCCCCCCAAAAATGAGCAGGGATGTCTTCAACAAGATCAGGTTGCTCAGAGCCCCGTCCAACCTGACTTGGAATGTTTCCAGGGATGGGGCATCCACCACCTCTCTGGACAGCCTGGGCCAGTGTCTCACCACCCTTATTGTAAAAAATTTTGTCCTTATATCTAAGTCTGAGTATCCCCTCTTTTAGTTTAAAACCGTTCCCCCTCATCCCATCGCTCCCCTCCCTGATGCAGAGTCCCTCCCCAGCTCTCCTGGAGCCCCTTTAGGCACTGGAAGGGGCTCTGAGGTCTCCCCTTTTTCGCCTTCTCTT